TTCTCAGGGTCCTCAGGGAGCCCTGGGGGCAGGGCCGGGCTGGATTCGAACCTGCCACCTTAGGTGTATGTGGCTGGTGCCTTAGCCACTTGAGCCACAGGCGCCGAGTCACATCTAAGCTTTCTTCTAAAAGTTTATAGTCTGGGCACTTACATTTATATCTGTCTTCCATTTTGAGTTAATTTTTTATGGTATGAAATAGGAGGAGCTATTTCATCCTTTTTCCTGAGGATTCCCAGTTGTCCCAGCACCGATGATTGAAGAGACTATTCTCTCCCCAGTGAATTGTCTGGATACCATAAAAAAATCAGTTCACCACACATATACAGGTTAATTTCAGGACTCTTAATTCTATTTCATTGATATGTAAGCCTATTAATATGGCAGTACCATACAGTCTTAATTTTGGTAGCATTACAACAAACTTTGAAACCAGAGTCTTCTGACATTTTTGTTCTTTGTCAACATTGATTCACCTATTCTGTGCCCCATTCATATAGTTTCTATGTTTATTATATAAATTTTGTGTATTTCATTACTTAATCTATTACCTATTGCAGATCAGGCATATGGTGCTACAGTAGCATTTGGAATTCATTACCCTAATTACAACGTAATTAAAATAATTATCATAACTAGTACCAAAGGTTTCCACTTAGCAATCGCTTAAAGTATGCTGTGCACCCCTACTCTGTCCACCTCAAAATGATAGGGTCTGGCTCAGCGCTTGTAGCTCGGCAGTTAGGGCGCTGACCACATGCATCGGGGTTTAAACCAGGCCCAGAGCAGACAAATAACAATGACAACTGCCACAAAAAAAGCCGGGAGTTGTGGAGGGCACCTGTAGTACCAGCTACTTGGGAGGATGAAGCAGGAGAATCGCTTAAGCCCAGGAGTTTGAGGTTGCTGTGAGCTGTGATGCCACGGCATTATACAAAGGGCGATAGAGTGAGACTGTCTCAAAAAAAAAAAAAAAAATGATAGGGCCTGTTATGTCTTTGTTTCACAGGTGGGGAAACTGAGGCCAGAGGCACTTGGTAGCCCATGCCCAGGAGGGCTTTCAGTCCACAAGCAGCACCAGGAGAGAGTTTGAACTCTGGGCTCCCTCACTCAGCATCACCCCCAACCCCGTGGCAGGGATCCACAAGGCTTCCCCTTCTTGTCTTCCCCTCTCCCACACTCTTTTCCAGAGGGATCACAGGAAGTGACCGCCTGTTCGCCCAGCTGCCCAGAAAAGAGTTCGAGCCCTCCAGCACCAGGTGAGTGCCCACCAAGGCTTCCTCCCTCTACCCTTGCCTAGGGCCCAAGGAATTTTCCTTCAGCTCCAGGAAGGCGTGGGGATCATGGGGGTGTCAGAGCTGGGGACTCTAGGTCAGAGGTCTGGTGCCACTGTTCTGGCCAGGAAGAGAAGGTGGGAAATCAGCAGCAAACACCAGTAAGAAATTTAAACAACTGGGTGGCACCTGTGACTCAAAGGAGTAGGGCGCCGGCTCCATATGCCGGAGGTGGCAGGTTCAAACCCAGCCCCGCCCAAAAACTGCAAATAAATAAATAAAAAGTATAAATCTAAACAACGACTGAGACCCAAAGACTTAGAGATGTCTTTTAGAGACAGAAAGAGCTGGAGATAAAGAAGGAGAGAACACAGAGATACAGGCACACTCAGACAGGGAAGTTACAGGAAAAGACACACAGACACCAGAATAAAGGAGATGGGCAAGTCCAGAGCAGGCGCGTCTACATGGCTCTCGCCCTCACACAAAAGCTGTCAGATATAACCGCCCTCTCCTGGCTGCCTAAGCCCTTTGCAGCTTTCAGGATGAGGCTGCTGATGCCACCCGATCTAGCTGCCGATCTAGCTGCTTCACGTCTCTGTCTATTGAAGACCTTCTAGGGTCCCAGTGGGCAGTCGCGCCCACCCTCATCAAGATAGCCAATGAAAGTGTGCTGAGGCCGGCACGGCCTTGTCTTCAGCCAACCAGGATTCAGAGACTTCTCAAGGCCGCGCCCATAGCCTCTCCCCTCGGAGTTGGAATCTGCGTGGCTCCGCCCACAGAACCTGTCTACGCACGTGGGGTCAGCCCGGCCTTCGCCGGTCTGGATACATCCTCATCAGCCTAAGCTATGTCTTTGTAACTCCATTACCCGGCGCCACGAGGTTCCAGAGGCGCAGAACCTTTTGAGTGGCTGAACACAGAAACACCCACGACCACTTCGCATTTCAGAGGCCTGCCTTTTACTTTAGGATCCGAGTCCTACAGGCTGAATAGACCGTGTACGGCACGCTGATTGGAAGCTGCAGCTGCCCGTCTAGCATTTATTCCTCTTCTCTCTGCCCTACCCCTGCCTTTTTTGGTGCATAAGGGAAGGAAAAGTTGCTACAAATTCTGGAGGAGCGCGTTTGTTAGTCCTGCACAGGTATCCCTGAAGGCTCAGGCGCAAGAGTCCTAAAGTGAAGAAGGCTCAAGCCTTTGATTGGGTCAGTAAGATGTCAGTCAAGGGATGGGCGGGTGCAAACGCAAAACAGCACGCAGTACTGATCGTGGTACTACCGGGACGGGTGGGAGGGAGGAGACAGCTGGGAGAGCCGGCTTCTCTGGATTGGGCCAGAAGGGAGCCGATCCCGCCCCCCAGGCTGCGGGATTGGCTAGGGCGAGCCGCTCCCCAGTCGTGCCGACAGCCTTCAGCACAAGTGGGCTTTACTTGTCCCTCTCAGTAGCAGTAGCCAGGTCCGTGGGAAGGCGTGCAGAGGAGGCTCACTGGGGTCTGAAGCAGATCCATCGTAGACCCAGAGTGGCGCGCGCCATCTCAACTGTGAGGGAACACCGGTAGGCGGCGGGAGAGGGACGCCGGGGGGGAGTGAATAAAGCTCCGCAACCGGAAGTGCCTTCTGGGAGGCGTCGCACCCGGAAATGTGGCAAATCTCCAGCCGTACCCGGAAGTGTGATGTTGCGGCCACTACGGGGAAGTAATGGTGTCCGGCCAATTGAGATACTGGATTAAAACAGGTGTTTATGTATCTTCATTTCCTGAGGCCCGATAGACTTCCCTTTTTGGAAAGTGTTGGCGGGTGCAGGCATGTGGTCGTGGTTTTGAATGACTCATCCTGTTGAAAACCGTGGGGAAACGAGCAGTAGGCGTGTGTCCAAGGGGGCCTGACTCCATAAAGGCTTTTAAGAAGTTTCTTCTGCCGGTCGTCACCCTCGATTCCCCTCCCTCTCAGGGATGTGCAGATGGAGGCCGGAGGAGACACTGCTGCCCCAGCCCCCGGGGGCGCAGGGGGCTTGGAGGACACGCGGTTCCCCGGTGAGGAGACTGATGACAGTGAGGGGGTTCACGCCGGCCCGCCACATCTCGGAGACGGGGACCTGGAGGAAACAGGTATGTTCTCTCCTCTCAGGGGCCTTGGAAGAATTCCTAAGTGTTGTCACTGTGCCGAGGATGGGTACGGGGTAAGGGGAAAGTTCAGTGGGAGATCAGTCAGAGGTCTTTAGAGTTCAGGGGGAAGCAGCTTAAACCATAGGAAGAAGTCATGAAGACTCATGTAGTTTAAATCACTGAGGAAAGAAAAGGAAATTATTGGTGTCGACAGATATTCTCTATGGATTTGGTGTGAGTTTAGGTCATTGAGAAATCAAAAGGGACTATTGGTGTCAAAGAGGATCAGTGGGGATTTAGGGTGTTTAGGTGAAGAGGTGAGCTAAAGAAAGCCAGTAGACCCCAAAGGGGCTATTTAGAAGTTAACGTTTGGGGGGGAGTATGGTGTTGAGTAAGTCATTCAGGTGGGAAAAGGGATTAGTGGGGTTCACTAGACACTCAAAGGCTATTTATGTTTACACCAATGGTGGGTTGTTGGGGAGCCTTTAAGGAACCGAGTGTTAGCAAATGTTAATGGTGGTGGGGAGGTGGGCATAAGTGATATTGTTTGAAGAGTCAGGGAATCGGTAGGAGAGTCTTTGAAGAATCAGATGTTAGTGGATGTGTAGAGGATGTGTAAAGGTTCACTGCGGGAATCACTGGACGTCACTGAGAAAAGGAGTCACAGGGAAGGCTCAGTGGACATAACATAATAAATGGGGGATCTCTGAGGACTTATAGACAGGTAATGGCAGTTACTGGGAGGAGGTAATTGGTATTTGAGGACATGGAGTGTCAGTGAATGTCAGTGAGAAAATGGGAGAATATGCAATTTTGAGGCTTTTTGAGGAAATTAAAGAGGCATGGCTGCAAACAGGTAATGACAATGGTCACTGGGAAGGGCATTGTATTGTATTAAAGTCCTGTGTGTTAATGGGTATTATGGTGATTATTGAGGGGAAGGGAGTGAATATCAATGAAAATAAAGAGGTCAGGGGAGTCAGTGGATTTCACTGGGAGGGTCCCAGGGCAGTCTTTGGTCATTGACAGGCAAGGGCAACACTTGGAGGTCTGTCAGCAGGTAGAGTCTCCCCTTTCTTTGGGGACTGTTAGGGATTTGGTGGGTCCCTAAGGACATGAAGTTATAGAAGGAGGTGTTATACAGGCAGATGATCCACCAGGGGCTCCTTTTCAGGATCCAAGGCCAAGGACCAACCACACAGCCCATCACCACTGCTTCATTCAGAGGGCCCATCAAGTACCCGTACCTGTCAGCTTTGGGATTCTGCAGCCTCTGAGAGTAGTCCCATGGGCAGCCCTGAGAGTGGCTCTGGAGGCCAAGGCGGGGATCCCAATGATGAGGACTGGCGCAGCCAGCGGAAGCATGTGTTTGTGCTGAGTGAGGCTGGCAAGCCCATCTACTCACGGTACGGTAGTGTGGAGGCGCTGTCAGCTACCATGGGTGTGATGACAGCCCTGGTGTCCTTTGTGCAGAGTGCAGGAGATGCCATCCGCGCCATCTATGCTGGTGAGCAAACAGGCGGGAGGGAGAATGGGGGACAATGGGAATATGGCTCACTGGCTGGAGGATTGTTTAGCCAGCCATGGGTAGGTCTGTCATATTTGTCTGCCTGAAGTGCTACCCAGCCAAGGGTGAGTGGGCGTGTGTGGGTGGTCAGCCAGGAGTCCATCTCTCTGTTGGCCTGCTATGTTCTGAGTGATTGATTCCCTGGGATCTAAGGGACAAGCTGGATAATTCTTCGTTGCCTTAGAGCATGACTGAGGGGGCTGTTTGGCTGAATTGGGTGCCTTTTTGTTCTATCAGTCCTGGCTCCTTCTCTCCACAGCCCTACCCATGCTCTGTGTTGTGTGGCTAACCTACCTGATCCCTTGACCCTCCCACCATATCTCTACACATGTCCAACTCCCCTAGATTGTCCGTACCTTGGTTTGGGTACCCATAGAGTGACTGTGTGGACTTGGGACAGGTGTGCGTGTGTGTTTGGGGGAGAGCAGCCTGTGCCCCTCTGGTCACTCCTGATCCATCTCTACCCACCCCTGGCCCACTCCCTCCCTCCCCCAGAGGACCACAAGCTGGTGTTCCTACAGCAGGGCCCACTGCTACTGGTGGCCGTGTCACGGACAACCCAGTCAGCAGCCCAGCTGCGAGGGGAGCTGTTAGCTGTGCACGCTCAGATTGTGAGCACACTGACACGTGCAAGTGTTGCCCGCATCTTCGCACACAAGCAGAACTATGACCTCCGCCGCCTGCTGGCTGGCTCCGAGCGCACACTGGACCGACTTCTGGACAGCGTGGAGCAAGATCCTGGTGCCCTGCTCCTCGGGGCTGTGCGCTGTGTACCCCTTGCCCGCCCGACACGGGACGCCCTGGGTGCGCTGCTCCGGCGTTGCACAGCTCCTGGTCTGGCGCTGTCAGTGCTGGCAGTTGGCGGTCGACTGGTCACAGCGGCCCAGGAGCGGAATGTGCTGGCCGAGTGCCGGCTGGACCCAGCTGACCTGCAGTTGCTGCTTGACTGGGTGGGCGCACCAGCCTTTGCAGCAGGTGAGGCATGGGCACCTGTGTGCCTGCCCCGCTTCAACCCCGATGGTTTCTTCTACGCCTATGTGGCCCGCCTGGATGCCATGCCTGTATGTCTGCTGCTGCTGGGCACCCAACGTGAAGCCTTCCATGCCATGGCCGCCTGCCGGCGCCTGGTTGAGGATGGGATGCGTGCCCTTGGTGCCATGCGTGCCTTTGGAGAGACTGCCAGCTTCTCTAATGCCTCATCACCCAATGCCCCAGCCTACAGTGTGCAGGCTGTGGGTGCACCTGGCCTCCGGCACTTCCTCTATAAGCCACTGGACATCCCCGATCACCACCGCCAGCTACCCCAGTTCACCAGGTAGGCCCTGATCCTATGGGCAACTGGCTAGGTGGAAAAGCTTGTCTAACCAGGAGGTTCAGCGTCTCACACATATGACTTGAGAGTGAGCCAGCCATGCTCTAGGAGGGAACTGAACAGGTCTCTGTCTGATGGTAGAGACTCACCCACAAACCTAAAAGAATGCACCTATCTATAGAAAGGGAGAACTAGTACTCAGGGAGTCTAGTTTGATGGGGAAAGCTTGGCCTCTAGTCACTGAGAATTCTCAAGTCTGACGGGAGAGATTTGACTCTCTGACTTAGTTGAAATCCCTAGAATGAGAGAAGAGATGGGCCACCCAAGAGAGCCCTGGACTGACCTTGCTTCCCGCCTCCCTCTTCCTGGCAGCCCTGAGCTAGAGGCCCCGTACTGCAGGGAGGAGGAGCGACAGCGGCTGTCAGACCTGTACCACCGCCTGCACGCCCGCCTCCACAGCACCTCCCGGCCCCTACGTCTCATTTACCACGTGGCTGAGAAGGAGACACTGCTGGCCTGGGTGAGTTGAGCAGGGCTCTGAGTAATTCCCCGCTTAAGCCTCCTCCGCCTACATTGTGTTCCTTCCAGCCATAGCGCCTACATCAAGCACATGATGCTTCTGCTGGGCTGTATTGCCTGCAACACTGTCCCTCCCATTACACGTTGTGTCTGCAACCCTGTATTAACCTTCCCTTTAGCAACCACTGCAGTGTCTGACTTTCCAGAGGCCCCGTTAATGGCCATCCCTGTGTCTGCTGATTCGTCATGGGCCTCTCTGGTGTGTCTGGAGGTACCCCATTAGCCACCAGCTCATTTTGACTCCATGAGTCCTCAGCACTGCCCATACGCTATAGGCTTGGCCATATGCTATGCCCTCTACCTAGGGTGGGTATCCTCTCCTAGGGTCTCCTCTGGGTTCTAGCTCTCACTTCCTGTGGGTTTGTTAAAGGTCAGCTACTCAGGGAGGCCACTGAAGGTAAAGCCAACAGAAATGCACCTTCCCCCAGGGCCCTGCCAGTTAGCACATGACTTATTTAGTAATTTATTGTATGTCTGTTATATGTCAGGCATTCATTGGGGCTAAGGATTGTATTTAAATTTTTTTTTAACTTTCATTTTCAGGTAATTTTGGACTGGGAAAGAAGTTACAAAAATAGTATAAAGAATTACTAGAAGGGAGCCCTTTATGTAGTTAACATCTTATATAACCATAGTAAACTTAAGAAATTCAGGAAACTAACATTGGTACAATAACATCTGATCCACAGACTTTGTGCAGATCTCCCTGATTGGCCCACTCATGTCTTGTCCCTGGTCCAAAATCCAGTGAAAGATCCCACAGTAGATTTATCTCTGTGTCTCCCAGTCTCGTTTATTGCAGTATAGTTTCTTCTTTTTTGTCTCCAGTGACCTTGGCACTTTTGTAAAGTACCAGCCAGTGAGCTTGTAGAACGTCCCTCCACTTGGTTTTTGTAATGTGGTATCATGAGTAAATTGAGGCCATGCATTTTTGGAAAAAGTGCCCCAGAGTGATATTGTACTCACTCTGGCATCATATCAGGAGGTACAAGATGTCTTTTCCTCCGTTGATGCTGTCACTTTTGATCACTTAGTTACAGTGGTGTCCTCCGCATTTCTCCAGTATAAAATTAGTATTGCCCCCTTTTTAATTAGCAATACCTGTAGTCATTATGTCGCCATCCTGTTTTTCTTTATACTTTTGCCCACTGATCTGCCAGGTGGTGATTTTTCTGTTACTCCTTCTACCTTTATTGGTTGAGATTTTACTGTAAGGGAGAAATTTTCTTTCTCCAATTGTTGAATTTTTAATTTTACAACAGTACGTTTTAGCTCATGGGTTTTTCTTTAATTCAGTAGGCTAAAATCCTTTTCTAGCATTTAGTTTGGCGCTCACATTGTCTCTGCTTTAGCCACTGGGAGCCCTGATGTAGCCAGGCCAGTCCCTGTGTCTCCTTGGCACGTCCCCCTCACTATGTGAGCATGCCTTGCTTGACTTTCTCTGCACCAGTCCTGGATTCTGTCATGTTTAAGGATTCATTGTACATTTTAGTGGAGTCTGGTATTTAAAAAAACAGATATGGTAGCCCCAGGATTTTAAGTTAGCTGGTTAGGGGAGAGATGGCACCTTAAATGGGGCAGGAAGGTAAAGGGCCGTGTGAGTATCTGGAGGAAGATACACCTGGCAGAGGGAAAGGACTGCAGATGCTCTGTGGTGGGACTGAGTTTGGCTCTATTGGAGGAACAGCAAGGAAAGGCTGGCATGGGGAGGCGCCTGTGGCTCAGTGAGTAGGGCGCCGGCCCCATATACCAAGGGTGGCGGGTTCAAACCCAGCCCCGGCCAAACTGCAACAAAAAATAGCCGGGCGTTGTGGCGGGCGCCTGTAGTCCCAGCTACTTTGGGAGGCTGAGGCAGAAGAATCGCCTAAACCCAGGAGTTGGAGTTTGCTGGAGCGACTCCACTGCACCCTACCAAGGGCGAAAAAGTGAGACTCTGTCGCTACAAAAAAAAAAAAAAAAAAGAAAGGCTGGCATGGCTGGAACTGAGGGAGTAAACAGGAGAGCCATGGCAGGTGGCCCAGAGAAGATGCTGGTGACATGGTGAGCTCAAGTTTCTCAGGCTGGTGTGAGGACTCATTTGAGTTCCTCTTTATACAGAGTGGCCATAAAGTACATGTGCAAGTTAAAATAGACAACCCTTTATGCTCAGATCAAAGCACGCGTTCATGAAGCTTAGAGCAGGATCGTGTATACAACTGCTAGTGACTAAATGTTAAGAATTGTGGGTCTTATTGTTCCCAGCCCACAGATGAGCAAACTGAGGTCCAGAGGGTACCCACACACACAGCCAGCATTATCCAGTTGAAGCTACCAGGTCCACCAGACCCCTTGGCCCAGCTGAGAACTCCTGGCCCACCTATGACAATAACAAAACCCTCCCTCCCTTAGCCAGTGTCTAGGCAGCACCAAGTAGACTTGCTGTCGGGTACATCTTCCAAGTAGCAGGAGGCAGACATAGCCCTGGGTTGAGGTAGCCAGGATCGTCCATGGACAGCTCTGGCCCATCTGACTCTGCCTCTTCCTCATTTCCCAGGTGACCTCCAAATTTGAGCTCTATACCTGTCTCAGCCCCTTGGTGACCAAGGCAGGGGCAATCTTGGTAGTGACCAAACTCCTGCGCTGGGTGAGGAAAGAGGAGGACCGGCTCTTCATTCGTTACCCGCCCAAGTACTCCACGCCTCCAGCCACCTCTATGGACCAAGCTCCCCATAATGGCTTGTTCCCCGGACTCTGAGAAACAGAGCTCCCAAACTGGGCAGTGCTTGGAGCAACCACCTTTGGTTTTACCTTCTGTCTCCACCCTGGAAATGCGGATGTGGGTGTGTCTGGCTGGTCATTGTCTTCCCCAGGCAATGGGGCAAGATCTGAGGGCCTTCTGGCAGCAGCCCAGTGAGCAGGCTGCTCTCCAGCCCACCAGTGCACCTCCCTCTCTGAGGAAACCCTGTGGCTTCTCTCTCCCTTCCCTCCGCCTCACTTCCTCCACTTGGATGGTGTTCCAGCCTCTGTCACAGGCTGTCCTCTCTAAACGTTGCTTCAGGGGTCTGCTGCCTCAATGAAATCTCAGCCCACAGTGCCCAGGGCTGGCCAAGGGCTCAGGGGTGGCCCAAAAGGGTTGTGGAACTGGGCATGCAGGGGCAGCTTGGCACGGGCTTATTTTAAAGATAAAACTGTACATGAAAGGCCTACAACCAACCTTTAGGAGGCTAGTTCCTTCCTTTGCCCTTCATGTACTCCTGTTCATCTTTGCCCTGCCAAAAATACCCCCATCAGTGCTGGCAGCTGCTAATATTAATAAGAAGGTGACCTTGTGTCTACCTGTGTAACCCAGGGTGTACAGCACGTGACTTCTCACCGTGGCTGGGATCCAGCCTTTTTACAGAGGGGGTGCACTCAGCTTCTAAGGCTCATTTTACTCATCTGTAAAACAGATAACTAATCCTCTCCCATAAACTCTTTAATGAAGATTTGTAAACACAACGGGACTTAACTGGTGTACCACCACACAGCACACACACATTTGTCTCAGGCCGACAACCTGCACAACTCGAGCAATCTAAAGCAGGAAAGACCTCCTCACGATGTCTTGTGTACACACAGCCCTCACTCCCCCACTGGCCGACATCCCAAGCCCTGCCCTTATTCCACTAATTGAAGTCATAGCCTCGTACACGCCTCTGTCGATCAGGCGGGCCAGGCATTCTGCGCTTGCCCAGAACCAACGTCTGACTTAGCTGGGTGGAATGATGGCCCAAACGCGGGCTGTACGCATGCGTGCTGCAGGGCTCACGTGGGGTATTTTTAGCCAATTGTCGGGTAAGGCTGAAGAGTTGGAAAATGGCGGGGAAGTTGGAGTCCTTGCGCGGGGAGTCGCCACCAGCCGCCGAGGACGCTGAAAGCGGTAAGGGCAAGCATTTCTCTCCTGTCCAGGGCAGAAAGGCAGAAGGATTCCTATTATTAGTTATAAAACAATAATAGCAGTAGTGTTTATTTTCTTTTTAAGAGAAATTTTAAGCCTTTTGTAACTTTTAACCTTTCCCCAAAGTGGAGATAAAAAATATGCACATTGTCATCATTTAGGTTAGGTCTTGCCAACTTTATTGACTATATTGCTTATTTTAAAGTAAATACTAAATACTTAAGTATGCATCTCTTAAACGAAAGGGGGGAGGGATGTTCACAGAAATCTCCCCGCAGCAGCCAACCCGTAGGAAAACTAGCCGTAATGCCCCAGCCCATTTTACACCCCGCTGACATCGCACTTTGCCTGAACTCTTTAATCAAAAGTGGCCCACCCCCAACACAAGTTTTTTCCTCAAGGATGTTGATTTGAATAATGACGCCTCAACCCCTAAGGGGGCTGGGGACGATTTTGCCTAGAAAGAACTTACTGGAAGTTGCGGTCCAGCCAAAAAACAAACTCAAAAATCTCCCAAGGCAATAATCCTCTGGTATGCCTTGGGTGGTAGCATTTTTTTCATTATAGAAATTTTCCAAATGTACCAAAGTAGAGAAAATAGCATGATGAATGTCCATGTATCCATCACTCTGGATGTATCCATCACTCTGCCCTCCTTTTATCTATAACTACCGGTTCTGCACACTCTTTAAACTGCCATATTAACAAACATTAGATTACTACTTACCCATACAAACATCAGGAAAGTGATTATTGTCTGTCCTTGGAGGTGAGCGCTGTGAGAACTCTGTTTCTCCAGCACCTGATACAATGCTTGCTTGGCATATGATAAGTTCTCAGTAGTTAAAAATGAATACATAAATAATGAAATAACTTCAAAGCAGAGTGCTCCCTTAGATTAGAGCCACCTGTAGAGTGTCAGCATTCAACAAAGAACAGATGGAAATAAGACCGATGTAAGTAGATCTCATTTATTTAGCATAGAGCTGCCATGGTGATTAAAAAAAAAACCATTTAGTAGCAACCTTTCAAATTCTTCAAAATTGACATTGTGATTGACACCAGCAAGGGAGAAATTTGAAAAATGTATCAAGTCACTTTCTAACCCATCAAATTGGCTTTATAAAGGAATTGATAATATCTAATATTGATGACACAAGCCTTCGCTTGTTTCACTGAGAGAACTGACCAGTAAAGGCTTTGCTAGAAGCAGTTTGGCAAAGTATTTTTTGCATCTGAAATTCCATTCTACATCTGCAGTCGCTAGGCTAGGTAGTTAGTCATAGGGGGTACATTCAGCCCTAGGAATGGCCTTCAGAATGTTGTTGATAGAGACAACACCAGGAACAATCACAGAAGTGGCTAAATCTAGTCATATACATACTATGGGATGTCTATACAATGGCTTTTTGTAAGAGGCAAGAAATAAATAATTCAAATTAAATTCCAATTAAATTTGAATTATTTAAAATTAAATTGTAAGTGGATAAATCATTATTCACTGATACAGAGTAAGCTCCAAAAGAGATCATATTTTGGTTAGAGAAGAGCCATTTGGGATCTAAGCAATAAAGAAAGTGGGTAGAGCCCTAAGTGAGTGAATTTCTCAGAAGACGTATCTGAAGGCTTAGGCCTAAGTGATAACTCTGGACAAGGGACTTGGATTTTGGGGTGGTGCAGAGGTGCAAGTATTTTTGTGCGGTTTTTTTTTTAATGTAAGTATTAATAGTATCGTATGCTTTTAAAATGTAAGGGAAAAATTTGAATGGCATCTGAGGATCCTGTATTAATGTTTGATC